GATGTTATGTTAATAAATGTCTCTAATTGGTTGCATGATCTAATCTAAATCCCAACATACCTTAGCTGCATTAGCTTCAGCAGTTTTCTTAGCAATCTTATCAAGAAGTTCCTTCTTCCACTGATCCAGTTTTGCATACTTGGCAGCAATATCGCTGTCTCTCTGTAGAATCTTCTCTTGCTGTTCCTTTCTGTTCTTTGCTGCAGTTTCCATCATCTGTTTTATAGTAAATGGATAGGCTACTGCTTCATACTCCATTTTTTCTTGTATTTCTTTTTGTGATGGAAAACAAAGACCTGCAATAGGTAAGATTAAAATGTTAGTTTTTAAATTGTGTAATAGAATAGTTTAACAGAAATTTTTTTATTGAATTTTCTTCAATGCCTTCAAGAAACCCCAAACATCAAGTAGGCAGCAGCTTTTCGTGTACGTCATTTGGGCCCAGGGCTCTAACTCTACAAAGTATTATTACCCTATTGTCAAGCACACTGCTAAAAATTAAACGAATCAACCAAATTATACAGTTCGAAATCATGGGAGAATATTAAAACAATATTTACTTGGGTTAACACCACTTGCGCTGCCGTATTTTCCATACATCTTCCTATTATATTTAACCGTCAAGTGGGACCAATTCTTCGGCTCTACATAAGGTCTCCGTCCATTTACAAGATTCCAATGTGCCTCTGATAACCTAGATACATTCCTTTTTCGTTCGATCTCGGCTTCCCTCGCCATTGCATCTTCATCTTCCACTAAAACTTGATCATTCTGTTCAACTGCTTCTACTGATGTCGAATAACGGAATAAAGAACTTATTAAGTTTGGCCGTAAATACTTAGATCTTAAACACAGACTCATTTTAAGTAATGTTTTTGTTTTTAATAAAGTAAATTAGTAAAAATCTGAATTGGATGTCTGTCGAAACTGAGGTTATGTTTTCGACTTTTGACTTTGACAATTGAAATTATTGAAAATTTCAAATAATTTTGACAATGACATTACCAAAAAATGTTCCAATGACCGATAGACAATTTTTTCGTTTTTATTAATGTTGCCAGATCTCAAACTCGTGAATCAGCCTGACGGATACGTCACTTTGAAAGCATTCAAATTTATACCTTATGTCATTGTGATAATTATCAAAATCTTGTACAATAATCAGAATGAGTTGTCATCGTGTCAATAAGTTTGCATTCCACTTCACTCTTTGCTTTGTCTTGTCTGTGCTTCATAATTAACAGGAACTCTCCTTCCTTGATTTGTTATTTTATTTAGTGTACTGTAAATCTTTGAATAATGGATGATTTCGGAGACAACTTCGTTCAACCTGAAGTAGACCCAGCAGCGGAGTTCCTCGCTCGTGAACAGAACCAGCTAGCAGGACTCGAAGATGAGTTGGAAACCAGCGCTCCGCCCCCTATTGTATCCTCCTCAAACGGCTTGGATGACTTTGTGGGTAAGTTACACACAGAATTGTCCTTTAAAGCGCATCACACTGATAAAAGTCTTTAGTTACATCGAAACTACGAAAATCAATATTTTTAACAATGATAAACTACAAACTGATGACTCTTACTTGCCTTATCTAGCAGTCAATAACCATTAGCACTGAAAAACATAAATATCTAAATGCATTAAATCAGTATCCACAAAATCAGAATCTAATAGACATAAATTGTCTTATTGGAACCCACACTAAGTATTAAATGAAATGTGTTTCTTCAGAAGTGCCAAGTGCCTCAGCCTTCGATTCAAATGGCCTTTTAGATGAAGAGCCCATCCAGACATCAGTATTCAAACAGGAAAGAGAAGAACCTGAGAAGATCCGTGCCTGGCGAGAGGAACAGAAAAAGAGATTGGAAGAGAAAGGTATAATAAAACTTACGAACTGATGTAATCTAGTAATTTTATCATTGTATCATATTGCTTTAAAACTTTTCTCTTCTTGATCCACAAATTATGTACCATATTTGAAGAATGGTAAAACTAGCTTTTCTTACTTTCTTTTAATAATGTTACAAATAAATAAGTCCTGTCTTGTTCAATCCAATATTGTGCCCTATGAAGATTGTTTGTACATGATCCTAGACAAAATATCTTTGCAGTAAAAACATACATATTGGAATAACAAAAGGGGATGGGATTATGTAACCACCCCTCTTGCAAAAATAGGTCAACACCCACCCACCCTGGTCACAAAGTGGTGTATATTTTAACAAAATTCCCACAATTATTTGATTACAGATGCTGAAGAAGAAAAGAAAAAAGAGGAAATGCTGAAAATAGCCAAAAAGGAGTTGGAGGACTGGTACAAGACACATGAGGAGACAATTGCTAAAACAAAGGCAGCTAATAGGTATAAAATTATATTTTCTAATTGGATTTGTACTAGATTATGTTAGTGGCAGTAATTTACTTAGCTTTTGTGGGGCTAGAAGAGCAGGATTGAGTATGGCATGGTAAAATGTAAATCCGGATTGGTATGAATTTATTATACATGTAACATCATTTTCCTCCCCTTAGTCAATTGCTTGGCTTGATACTTTACTCTGAAAAATATGAGAGCATTGCTTTATGTAGTTTCTGGTATGTTGCTTCTAAGGCAAGCAAAAGGAACTTTATTAAAACTTGTGATATTATTTTAAACAATAATACTGCAGTAGGTAAGTCACGAGATCTTTAGTTGCTGGGATAAAATATGTAGCAAAACTGGTAGTTCAAATGTGCTCTAAGTATAATTAACAGCATAAACTAATTAGCAAAATATGCTTTATAGGCAAATCCATACTGATATAAATTACTTGAACATAATACTGATTAATATTAATACAATGTATTGTATTTTATTATGTACTTGTGCAACCTATACTTATTTTCAATACTATATCACTAAATGAAAACTCTTTTCTTTTCATTGCTATCAGGGAATCGGCTAAGTAAGTATATCAGAAATTGAAATTTTAAACTAAAACAGGAACTAAATTGGTTTGGTGGAGGTTTCAGGTTGAAAGTGTGTAAAATTTATTCATTTTCGTTATTTATTTGTAATCTGTTTAGCATTTCATATTGTCCAAATGTCAAGGATAGGTGTTGGTACTAAAATGAGGTTAAGTGTAGTTATTTGTTTATGTAACAAGTTAAAAGGATCGTTTATCACCCTCAAAAGTTTTTTTGTACATTTTTGATAACATAATAATTATTGTTTTAACTGTAAATCAAATTGCATAATACCATTATTTAACCCTTTCACAGATGGGAAACAAGACACATTGTCGATTTTTATATTAAACGTGTTTTTGATAAATAGGAATGCCGAGAAAGCTTTAGCACGCGGCTCTGAGGGTACCGTGGAAGATGGTAACGAATGGGAGCGCGTAGCTGAGCTATGCGACTTCGGACCGAGACGCGGCCGCGACGTGGCGCGCCTCAGGTCCATCGTACTGCAGTTGAAACAATCTGGAGTAAGACCTAAGCACCCACCACGCACTACTAAAGTGTAAGTGTCATTTAGTTATTACTAGCGACCCGCCCCGGCTTCGCACGGGTGCAATATGCATGTATTATACATACAAACCTTCCTTAAGAATCACTCTATCTATTAAAAAAAACCGCATCAAAATCCGTTGCGTAGTTTTAAAGATCTAAGCATACATACGGACATACAGCGAAAGCGACTTTGTTTTATACTATGTATTGATGTAGTATATTTGGTAGGTAGGTTGGTGTTGCACATTCAAAGATTGCAAATTCAGACAGATCTTAGTAAAAAAAAAATTTGAATATTTCCCTGTTCTATAAAAATAATGAGTAGGTTAATAATAGATGGTCATCAAAATTAAAAAATCATATTATCAACTAATCAATGTAATCGATGTTTATATCTTTTGTTCACAGAGCTTGAATTTCCAGTGAAGATGTACGAGTTACATTATTACAAAAAATTGTACCTAATCATCAGTCTCGTATATAAAAATCACACTTATTAATTATAATAAATTAGGAAAACATTAATATAAAGTTATTCCAATGATGTTGAATAATAATACTGGAATGTAATAATAATAACAATAACAGAAGTTATTTATTCATTTTATAGTATATTGTATAAATCATAATGGCGGACTATTATTAGAGACTAGTTAAGCCAATGTTTTTTTTTTCATTATTATGTTAATAAATATCATTCCAAAATAAATAATTGTTCATTTCTTTGGTACATTTACCTACTTATTAAACTTTATACAAATTAATGATAACAATATTAGTGACTCCTTATTTATAATCAAGGCAACAGTGTGTTATACAACCTTACACTGGGATACAATTTTCGTCTTAAAAACTAATAGATTCCCAACTTAGCACACAGGCTTATTTTTGTCACTATAACTTATAATCCCTTGCTATATCTATATGTTTCCTTTTATATATTTTCTCTGTCAACTTTAACAATAAATACATAAGACTTATAACTAACAAAAATGGCCAGACACCACATGTGAGGTAGTTTCGTAATTGTAAACCTAAAGGATTATTTTTATTCAAAGATATATTGTTGTATACTATTTCTGTCCTCTTTGTTACATCCATCCAATTGTACATTTTCCTTACCTTCATATTGCATTCAAAAGGACATAATATATTGCCTTTGTCTATGTCTTCCATGGCCTTTTGAATTCCTTCCACAAGACTGCCAACATTTGGTTCGGTCAGGTAAATCATGCTGTCTGGCAACACTTCAGGTATACCACCTACTTTAGTTGATACTACTTTTAACCCACAAGATGCCGCTTCGACTATTGCCATACAGTAGGCTTCAGTAAGAGATGTATTCAAAAATATATCCCCTTTCACAAGCACATCTCTTACTTCTGAATGTTTGAGACTTCCTAAAAGGGTCACACAGTGTTGGAAACCTTTCTGTTCTCTCACTTCTTGTAGAAGCCACATTTTAGGACCGTCTCCTCCAACTATGAATCTTATTCTTGGGTATCTAGGGCACATATCAGCTATTACAGCAGCCATTAAATCAACACCTTTTCTGTATACAAGGCGGGATACAATGACTATTGTTATCACATTAGGATCTCTTTTGCTTGGGTCTGGAGTAAAGCTGTAGGCATCAACAGCATTAGGTATCACAGAAACCTTGTATGCTTTTACTTTTGCTCTGAGCACAGTATTTTCTTTACCAGTGTGCGACACACAGATACAATGATCACATTCACATAAACACATCTGAAGGTACTTGTTTGTTAAGACAGCTGAAGTATCAGCAAATCCGAATAGACTGTGATCAGTGAACACTGTTTTCAAACCCATAAGTTTACCTATAATTGACACTTCATGACACAATACACTGAATGCAGAATGTCCATGTACAATCTCTACTCTCTCTCTTATCAATATATATCTTATCAGTGCTATATTGCATATCATAGTTGGCAGAACACACTGAGCATAAAATACTTTTACAGGCAAGTAATATACTTTCAGTCCGCAAGTTAAATACCTTATTCCAACTCGTTTTCCGTAAGAATGAGTAATTATAACTACTTTATGACCTCTTTTGATTAGACATAGTGATAAATTATAAATATGCTCCTCTACTCCGCCTGTGTTAGGATAAAAGAAGTCGGAAGCCATACAAATTACGTGTTTTTTGTTTTTTTTACGGATCTCCTGCAACAATAAATTGAATGGGTTAAAGCAACGATAAGCGGAATTCATTATTATTCCATGTTCATATATTATACAACTATAATAAATACTATTACCTTTTTTTGGATTCCCATATTGCTAACGTAAAGTTGAAGAAGTTTAAGGTTTTAACAGCTTACAGTTTTCAAATACCGCTCCTAAAATGAGTGAATCCTTTTAAATACAACCAAACCCAGACCACAAATGACAAAAATAATAGACTTTGACACACTCACTTTGACAATATAGAGAACAAAAACATTTTTTGACGTGACGTGTGACCCCTTTAGATTGACTTTCTGACTTTGCCAACATCTTAAATGCAACACAAAATTAGTTTTGTTAATCAATTATAATGACGAATCAAAAACAACAAAATGGATTAGTAATTTGTAGTAAAAACGGTTAAATCACATACAGCGGTTTTGTTGTCATAAAGTTTTAATTTCGGAACGAAAGTCTCATTACGTCAACATGAAATGAAACATGTGTGAGTGTGACACTGTCAAGTGTCACTACTCACTGCGTTCTGTCAAAAGCATGCGGTTACTGTAAATTGTAAATAATCGCACTTATTTAATTGTTATATTTATATAATTGTTATATTTAGAATAAATTATGGAGGAAGAAAAGAAAACTGAACGAAAAAGAAAAAGATTCGCAGCTCGATTAAAGAGTTCTAAAGGAATAACATGCACTGAAGTGCCTGGGCCGGTAGGACACCTGTTTATTGTGTTTAAAACGGCAATATATCGGCTATAAATAATGAAATGACTGATTACTTTCCAGAATATAGTGCTATGCAACGGCGGGCAAGCAACAGGGCTAGAAAAAGTAGCTATATTTAGTCTAATTAAGGAACATGGTTTAAGTATGACTTTGCCTAAATATATTGCTGAAAAAGGAGAAAGCCATTCCTTTCTAGTGTTTAACTCGAAGGAGGATGCTTTGTTATTTTATAGTAGTTTCAATGGAAAAGCAAAGGCTGATAATAAGGGAACACCACTATATATGAACTTTGTTGAAACAGGTAAACATTGGAAATATTTGATTATAAAATAAAGAACCTTAATTTTGTTTTTCCAATAGGTACGTCTCAATTTATTGTTGTAGATAAACCATATTATTATCCTAAATTAGACAAAGTACCATGCATGTATTAAGTAAGTAAGTGTATTATGCTTTTTATTTTTAGTTCCCAACACAGAAATAATATGCCCACATGAAAATCCCAAAGGCCTATTACTACTTAATGACTTCATAACACAAGAAGAAGAAAAAGAATTCATAAAACTTTTTGACTGGAATCCAGAATGCAATAATTTGAAAAATAGACTGGTAAAGCATTTTGGGTATGAATTTAGATATGGCAGCAATGATGTGGATCTAAATAGCCCATTGATAGAGAAAATTCCTGAAGAGTGTGACATTTTATGGAAGAGGTTGAAAGAGAAAGGTTTTAATGTTGGTGTACCAGATCAGCTGACTGTGAACAAGTACTCTCCAGGGCAAGGTATCATTTCATTATTATTTATTAAATGTTATGGGTTTTTTGTTGTTTATGTCTAATTGTCTAGCATATTTATGGTCACAGTTAACAAAATAGTTGTGAAGAAGTAGTTAAATTTTTTTTATTATCTTTTTAACTAGCACCAGCATTGATATTATTTTATGCTTGGTCTAAAAAGGTATTTTCATTAATTTCATCAACAGCATATAAATGCCCACTGCTAAGCAAAGCCTCTTCCCACACGGAGAAGTTTTGAGCATTAATCACCACGCTTACTCAATGCGGTTGGCGATTACAAACTTATTATTAGAAATTATAAGCCCAGGTTTCCTCACGATGTTATCTTTCACCGTTTGTCTGTGGTGTCTGAATAATCTTAGTCAAAGTCAAAGTCAAAATCATTTATTTCAATTAGACCAGGAAGGCACTTTTGAATGTCAAAACAAAATATTTAAATATTAAATAATAAGAAAAAAAAAAGAAAGTACAGTAAGTCTTAGAAAGTACATACATGGAAAAAGTCACATTGGTACTTGCCGTTGATAGGTTTCCGAACTTGCACCCTCATTCATGAGAAGCGGGCTTCTTAAACCTTATGGCCACCACGACATTCAAACGACGACGTCCAAAAGGTACATTGTGCTATGTAAAATTGTGCAATAAAATAAATAGCAGATACTTTCAGTGATGATAATGATGTGACTTACCATTGTTGAGGATTGTTCCAAAATGTCTCCTGTCACAAGCCTCAGAAATAATCAGTGATCTTTATTATTTCCAGGGATCCCATCACATGTGGACAAGCATAGTCCATTTGGAGGTACCATACTGTCACTGTCCCTTGGCTCTGATATAGTAATGGACTGGAAACACCACAGCGGCCAATTCATACCAACGCTAGTACAGGCAAGATCTCTACTTGTTATGCAAGATGAGGCCAGGTGATTAGTTAGATTGTAGCATAGTTTTGTTTGTCATCCTCATAATTAATATAAATAGTGTTGTGAAGATATTCATTGTTATTTGTCATTTCACCACTTATTTCATTGATACATCATTAGGTACATAACTTAGTCTTATTTCATTTAACTTTACTATTCTATAACGTCCAGTTTCAATAACCTATCTATCTGTAGATTTGCTTACTATAGATAGAATTTTGACATAAGCTCCATACAAAAAGTGTCAAAATTCTATCTCTACTTCTCTAGTAAGCAAATCTACAGATAGATAGGTTATTGAAACTGGACGTAATACCTACTTATTTGATTGACTGCCTTGTTGGCCGAGTGATTGCAAGTGCGACTGCCGGGCAAGGGGTCTCGGATTCAATTCCAGGGTCGGGCAAAGTATTACTGGGTTATTAAAAAAAAATCTCAGTAGTAGCACAGTCTGGATTGTGCCCGGTATATGGCAATAGGCTCACCCCCTATTACATGGGACTCATAACATAAATAGTGAAAAGTGGGCGTTACTTCTGTGTGCACCTCTGCCTACCCCTTCGGGGATAAAAGGCGTGATGTTATGTCATGTTATGTTGATTGATTACGATCAGATGATTTTCATTGTTTCTATATAAAATAACGTCATGCTGTAATAAGCAAATTAATATTTCTGAAAATGTGGATGGAGGTGCACAACAATGTTACAAGCTATATATGTTTTGAATCCAATGAAACAATGAGTGTGTCTATTGCCAAACACTTCTAGATCTTCCTGAATGAAATCGATAAACTGACTTTGTCCGAATCGAGTCCCCTCGCCCGTGTCGTACTATTACGACCTATTCAACCAACGAGAATTTATCTCAAAATTAACAAGCTATTTTGTATTTCACAGATACGACTGGCAGCACGGCATTCAACCTCGCACTTGGGATCCAGTTATCGAAAATCGCGTGGAAAACTCTCGGAATATCAAAGTGATAACAAATGACACTGTACCAAGAGGAACACGTATTTCTCTTACATTCCGTTGGACTAGGAGTGGTCCTTGTGAGTGTGAATACAAGACACTCTGTGACAGCGTGGAGAAAGTCAGTGCTGATAACTTGGAGAATGAAGTAGCCTCGAATTTGGAGAAGCTGCATGTTCATCAGGTATATAGTATTTTAGTAAATAGTTTGATGTATACAAACGCACATGCTTCTATTTCAAAACAAACTTAGGACTAACGTAAA